CTTAACTGCTAAATCCAAAGTACAATTTAACTACTAAATTTAAAGGGTCATTTAGCTCGGTTTCAGACCATTCGAATTGTAATACGTAAAAGCACTTAGACATCATTGAAATTATGTTAGAAAGCTAAGGCTAAGTGAAACGATATAATCAGTAACAATTATGCTAAAAACTTGAGGCTTTAATAAAATCTAATAGGCTGACTGTATAGCACGAATTGAACATAAATCACTGAATGCATGAGACGAACTTATAAATCTGACTAACAACTAAATCGATTATTCAGCTAATTACCGTTACTCACAGAGATATCTATATAATAAAGATATATTAAAATAGTAAATATATATCTACGTAGTAAATATATATGTATATAGTAAGGATATATCTATACAAGAAAGATACATCCACAGAATGAGGATATATCTATATATTGAAGATGCATTCACATTGCAAGTGTATATTTACACATTTAAGTTACATTCACATAGTGAGAATATATCAACATATTGAATAAAAACCTTATAACCCTATAACATCTTGAAGATACAGTAACTTAGCAAGTATATATCCACATGTCGAATATGCAGTCACATAAGGAGGAGTTACTTATATAACGAAGATATGTTAACATAGTAAAAATACATTCACATAGTGAGAATATATCAACATATTGAATAAAAACCTTATAACCCTATAACATCTTGAAGATACAGTAACTTAGCAAGTACGTATCCACATGTCGAATATGCAGTCACATAGGGAGGAGTTACTTATATAATGAAAATATGTTAACATAGTAAAAATACATTCACATATTGAAGGTATGATTTCATCTTGGTTATAATTTTTGAGCATGACTGCAGATTTTACTAGATATCAACAGTATCAGTTGATTTCTCTTAGATATCTCGGACTCTATTAAATTGAGTAGCCTCATTTAATTATTGTTCTCAACACACTAGAGCTCAACTAAAAGTAAAACAGTACCATTTTATTGTTCGTAACACTTCTAGAACTTTACTAAACACCACGCATTCTCATTTGGATATTCTTATCGTATCTAGAACGTTAAAAGTAAATATCAAACAAGTTCAGTTGGTTGCTCTTAACGAACTCTATACTGTAGCTCAGACAATATATTGTATCTATTCTCCATATTTCTAGGATCCTGCTAAATATCAGACATTCTCACTTTAACATATGTAGAAGTCTACTAAATATCAAACAGTTTCTTTTGTATGGACTTAACATTAAATATTGAAGATCAATCAGTATCATCTGTGGTTTTTAACACATTTCTTGGACAAGTTAAATATGGGAAATCTTGTAATATATGGAGACAAATAACAGTATATTTTTGAATGTATCATGCTATTCTTACCCCAACCAAGAATATAAAACCACTTCATTATTTTGTCTTCAGCCACAAATGCAATCACTAGTAGAGTATGTAGGTAGAGGCCCTCACAGAACATCCACATGTAATTACTCAGTAGAAAGTAATGAACTAAGACGTGGAGAACCTGACAAGCTGTCTGAAATATCAAAAACAACTTATTGATCTATATACGTGGTACGTCTGTAATAATATATACTGTAGTGTAATACTTGTGTATGGAAGTACATTATATTAATATAATAGTAAATTGACAAACAACGATTTATAAGCATAATGAATTGGTATATTTCGGGGGGAATACTTCAGTGTAATGAAATAAACAAAGTTGCGTGAGAGGAATACAGTAACATTCAGGTGGAGTATTTGCGTTTAAATGCGTCTGAAGTCTATTTTCTTATACAAGTTGAATTCAGAAATATTCTGTGGTTGAAGACTGGGAAACATGGAAAGTATTAAGCAAGATTTTAAGGTGTTTACACATGTTCGAATAATATATATACAGTGTATATATGTTAGGATTGAATAAGCTTAACTCCAAGGGACAAAGTCTGTTTTGCCAGAAGCCAAGAAAGCATGACAAATAGCTTCACATACACAAAGTCGAGAAAATGACTTGAAATGAAACATTCTGGTTTCTTATTTATATCGATGTTGCCCATAACTTCCTTCTAAATTGGCTTCGGTGTGTTTTGTGAGTAATTTAGTTACATGCCTATAGTTTAGGGCTAAACTATTTTATATTTCTATACGGAACCTGTGTATTACAGCAAATACATAAAATATGGAAGAATGATGTAATTCATGGATATTTTTCAAAACAGCCGTATGTTTAAATAAGTCCCCCCCCCCTCTCCGTGGCGCTGCGGAAAGTCTGTAGACTTATAACGCTTAAAACGGGTTTCGATATCCGTACTGGTCAAACACAGATATCGCATTGTGTAGCATTGTGCTTACCAACAAACAAATAAAATTGTATATATATTTATAATGATAACACAAAAGTCATGTTAATTTTAACATACAAAGGAAAGAAGGCATAACGCGACAGCATCCCTATATCTTGGATGATTTTTATTTTTAATTTCAAATAACTAGGCTAGGAACCAAAACGTGGGAGAGATACCTGTAAAAAATAGAACCTGAAAATATTTGTGGATATATCTTTTTAAGATTTAACTCTATTCGAAAGCACAGTTATTAAGTAAGACTAGAATAAAAAAGAAACAAGGATAAATATCAGTGCTCAAATCCAAAAAATCCAAATCTCAGCTAGCATCCATTACTTGTCGCCAGCTGTAGAACGACACTGGCTCTTAATAGAGCAAAAATGAAATAAAAATAAAATTGAAAACAGGTTAGTAAAACAAAACGCTGGTATAATAAGTAAACCTAAAAGATTTCTAAGACACACATGGCTTACTTGCATGTGTGAAATAGATTAATAACGTGATATGTCAGGTGATTGCTTGAGCCTTATTAATGCTGACCTATAGTCATATCTTGTAAACTAACAAGGAACTTGCCGACTTTCAAAGGGACAATTTCGTCACTTTACAATGCCGCATTTCAGTTCTAATGAGCAGGAGCTCTTCCAAAACAATACATAATGCTTGTATTGTCCAAAATTTGGTTTGAATAACATGAAAAAAATTTCAGTCCTTTCCTTAACTATCACCATTACCCGATCTTAGCGCGATTGAGCATTCCTGTGTTGAACTTGAACATCGCATTTATCACCGTAATCAATTACCAACATTTTTAAACCAGTATAGCCCATTCAAACCAAACGTAACACCTGTCATGCCGTTCAACTGCCAGGCCGTTAGCACATTAACGGTGGTGCAACCTGATATTATCTAGGGATTCTGATAAATTGCCCAGTCAATGTACTAAAAGAAAAAATATATATATATATATATATTATTCTGATGAAGTAGTACGTTACTTAGTATCAACCCTGACAAGCTAACACGAGGGTATTTATGAATGATATGTTTATGCACTGTGAGAGAGATAAGTAACTTTAAAATTATGTAGAGCTCAATTCTATAAGTCTAATATATCTTAAAAAGGTATGCCAAAGTTGTATACTTTTACCAATTATTGTAAACAAAAACAATACTTGAAATGCAACATGTCTTATCTATCATCTTAAGACTGGTTGATACTTACCTTATTGCTGAATAAGACTTCTGGATATTTGATGACCTCCGTGTACCACACTATCCACAGAATGTTGTTGATGATAAAAGATACAAAAAGGTTTTTGTGGATAGTAATTCGGGTGCATTTCATAGATCTATGAGAAAAGTTGGAAATTTAGGTGAATAATAAAGTAACATTCAAATATTATACACATATCGATTTCAAATTACAAAACACATGGTCTGTGTGTAATCATGTGCAGAAATTCAGGTCAGAACAAATCTGAAATAGCTGACTTTTTAATGTTTAAAAAATTCAATCGGATGAATATCGAACAATATAATCAACTCTTGAATCTAAACAATAAATTGATTGAATGCATTTTTAGGATATTAATATTAGAAACTGCCTTGATAAATTGTTGTTGTAAAATAAAATCTGGATCCTATTTTAAAGGAGATTTACTTGAAATACGTTTTCATATACATATAACTTTAACATTTATGTCATTAGTTTTTAACTTCTTTCGGATCATGTAATATAACTCATGAAACGAAATTTCGAACTCAAAGTAAATATCAAAATCAGTTGAAGCCCTATTATGTTTTTTCATAATTCTTACAAAGGTTACTTCCTATTTTGAAATATACATAAGTAAGTAAGCTATTATATATATCTAATATAACATATTTCAGAGAAACATCGTACAATCAGTTGATGCAGGGAAATATGTCCAATGAGAAAGATTTATACTCACCTAAGGTAGAATGTACTTCTGGGGAACAGTGTGTAATGCACTCACCTGAAGTAGAAGTATATGATGAAGGAAATAATGCATGTTACACTTACCTGAAATACAAAAAGGTAGCCAGAGAAAGAGTAAATGTTCACATTTGACCATGGAAACAGTTCATGCTACACTCACCTGAATAAGAAGAATATGGCAAGGGAAGAAGTACATTGTTACTACACTCATCTGAAATAGAAGAATGTGATCGAGGAAACAATAACTGTTACACTCGCTTGAAATAGGAAAATAAAGACAAAGACAAAATACCTGCTACATTCACTTGAAGTAGAATAATTTGGTCAGGGAAACAATATCTGGTACACTCTTCTGATGTAGAAGAATATGACCAGATAAACAGTACATGCTACGCGCTCCTGAAGGAGATAAATATAGCCGGGATAGTAATACATGTTAAACTGATGACGCTACACTCACCTGAAATAGAAGAATATGACCAGGGAAACGCTCAGAGCAATAACAGATATGGAGTATCCAGCAATGTAAATTTTATTGATCTTATCACGGAACTGAAACAAAACAAAATAGAAATTGTATTATTATTATTATAATAAAAAAAAATAATTAAATTATTTGTTTGCCAAACAAAAGATTAATTAACAAAATGTTTATAGTAAACAACGAAGGAGCTTTTACTACGTACGTATCAGCACTACGGTAAAACACCAAAACACAAATATATAGTATTTAATGGAATATGGAATATTCAAGTACATTATTTTGTGTCTTTTAATGAAACCTTTCAGATGAAGGATATTTTTCTAATAGTTATAAGACCCAAGAGTTATTCTCTTAATCTTCATCTCCATGTCAACCACAGTAAAAGAAACTCACAATAACCACAGATAACAACCAATAATAGATTTTCCAGTCTAGTCTTTTTTGTTGTTAGAGACTGTCTATAGATTTAATTTACAATTATATCTATAAGTTGATCGAAATTTCCTGTAAAATCTAGTGTCAGTTGTAATAAAGTATTATATAAATGTTGGAATATTATAGTTATATAGTGTTGTACGTATAAGCTATAGACACATACGTGAGGAGTAATTAAAAAATTGAAATAAAAGTCTAGGCAGGTCTAAAATAAAGACGTTTGTCGTCCTGAGAGTACAATAGGCTAGTATAATGCGTTATATGGCCTTTTTGGATCAACTTAAACCAGAAAAAAAATGTTATTAATATTATGTTTATCTCTTAAAGGACAGATTTAGAGTTATTCTAGAAATATTATTTCTAAATGTTTAATGATCGTTATTATTAAGATTATTACTTAGAGCTGTAAAACTGAGAAATTAAGCATCTATATATTTGTATAATTAGACAAATTTTATGTACATCATAAACGGTTTATTAGAACAGCAAAAAATTTTACCAGAAACATGTAGAAAGACGTATAATTCATCATTTTCATTCTCACAACAAAACATTACCAAAACACATATAATGACAAAATATAACATCAAATTATTATAAATAGCGTCTGTAACCTTACGTCAGTTCATATTAAACATTCAGTACTTGGTTGGTCCTCCTTGTACTCTAATAACTTCCGCAAGACGACGTGGCATGCTGTCGATGAGGTTATTGATCTAATACATCATGATTTCATCCCAACTTGTCACTAGAAGACGCTGTAACTCAGCTACAGTAGCTGGTTTAGAGTTGTGGTTAACAATTTTCCGGCTCAGTTCTACCCAACAATTCTCAATGAGATTACAATCTGGAGACTTTGTTGGCCATGACAATCTTTTCCTCCTAGTCGAGATAATCCTGTATAAAACGTGCACTGTGGGCAGTGGCAATGTTATTCTGGAACACAAAGTTATTGACAGAACTTGCCCTAGCATATGACAGAACTATCGTCTACATGTGATGCTTATAGGAGGCGCCATTTACAGTTTCCTGGAGAATATAAAGAGCAGTTTTTCCACCATAGTGAAAAGCTGCCCAAACAGCTATTCTTCAGGCAAATGACGAACACGAATTCTACCATAAGCTTTAATAAGCCAAAAACAGGACTCATCTGAAAAGATAATGTGTCGCCAGTGTTCTAACTGTAAGTTGGCATGCTGTCTTGCCCAAGTATCACGTTATGTCGATGAATTCTGGTTATTATCGGTTTGCAGATAGCCCTTCTTGGAAAATAACCTTCTTTGGTTAGTCTCCTATTCACTGTTCTTCTGGAAACTCTGGAGTAAATGTGTTCATGACATTCCTGTCGTAAGGTGTTGCAAGACTATTTTCGACCTTGACGTGTTAATTAACCTGATCAAAACACGGTCATCTCGGGCAGTAGTGTTTTGGTGTCTACCAGTAGAATTTCCTGGAACAACGTTGCCTTAATCCAATGACGTTTCAGAATTCTGGATACAGTATACTGGGGGTAGCCTACTGTTCTGGCAATGTCCATTCGCTTCATACCATTCCTGGATAGTCGAACAATTTGACCCCAATATACTTCTAGCACGTGACGAGGCATGACTCTACACCAAGTATAGAGAAATTGTCTGACCAAAGAGTTCATCTGTTTCGAAAAGGATTATACCACAAGCACACTCTTTTATACAGAACAGGTGTTATGTGTGTATTGACAAATAAATGCAAAAACAATTTATACAAATCAAAATAACAACCCGTACATGTTTGTCCGATCATACGCTTCCTTTTCTGTTACTACTCGGGCATTTACTCAGTAATTGCTCTGTGCATGTAGACAATAACATTAATATAGAACAGTATGCAAACATTTTGGCCAAGACTGTAAGTATCAAGTAGACAGTAGAAGCATAACTTACTCTCTATATTGAGATTGAACTCTAATTTTGAGTTATATATAACTTATTGACAAAAAAAAAAAAAACTCCCGATAGATATTTCCAGTGAACTGTTTAAAATTCATCACAAAGATAATTTTGTAATTGACGTTGAAAAATACATCGATACAACCTTTGTATCATGAAGTATTTGATGGTATTATAGTCTTTGAAATATTGTATTATTGCAAAATAACTTACACTCAAGTCATCTTTATCAATACAGGTGGTGTAATTGGACCATGTTTTGTTGGTTTCAGGGTGAAGGAACCAACTCCCGTCTTCTTCACACACTTTATGAGCATACCCTATACGAAAACACGAAAACTGTGTAGATACATAGAAATATTGTACTGGAATTTGATTTTAGTATTATGTAAACTAAACCTTAATAATCATTTGCAACAAGATTTAAACATAAACTTGAAAATTACTATTGCATTAACAAAACCATTTATATGCAGTGTAGATTGACATAAATAGTTCGAACTATTTTGTTTTCAGGAAAATGCTATAAGAACAAAAATCAAAAACAAGAAAAATAAAAATACTTTAGGAATCAAACCATAACTCATAGCTTTTATTCGTGGGTCTTGATTTTATGAAAGTTAAAACATAGCAAGCTCTAGGAAAAATAATATTTACGTTGTCATGGTTTATATATAAATATTATTTTGCAAGGAATCTTAATCTAAACCTTAATAAATGAAATGCTTTCGCTTCTGTTGTATTAAATATAATAGAATGTTCTGGAAACCTAACATATTCATCTATGTTCACTGGAACATGAACTATTTGAGGTAATCTCAGGTAAGAAAGCCAATTCAGAACCAGCAGTTACGAGTAACGTTTTTTCATTGTCCTAGATAGACTGAAAACAGCAGATGTTACCTGTGATGAAGGGCAGAGTTCCCTAAAACTGGTATAACTCAGTGACAATTACTGAAACGAAAGATATATTAGGATCCATATTTATTTTTAATATCTTAAATAGCTTGTTTGCTGAATAATTCAGAATAATAAATTAGGAGCATCAGTGTTTCGTATTGATCAAAACATGTATAAATATATGGGCTCAATGTGACGTGTAAAAAAGTTAACTAAAAATACCATGTGTGTAATACAATTCACCATTACAAAGTACCTACTCTTGTTATTTCGACCTGCCCTTGTCTAGGGTTACTAAAGAGTAGTAAAAATTTCTGAAACCGGTAAAACTCGGTGATAAGTAAGTTAATATAATGATAGACTAGGCTTAATATTTATTTTTAGTACCTAAAATATCCTAATATTTTATTCCAAAAAGTAATGAAAGATGCTAGAAAAACAATAGTTTTACATTATTATGGATAATTAAGATATAAACTGGAAGTAGCGCAATATTAATATGTAGGTCAACGGTATCTATTTAGCTAGTTACTCTTACAAAAATTGTAGTTGTTAGAATATTTACTGTCTTATCTACTAATATGTTTTCATTACACTGATTAATTATTTCGTTTACTAAATTATTATTTCAATTTAGTAAAAGCATTTCAACTACTTTTATACAGTGCTTGCAAACCTCTGATATGAATTTGAATTACATATAAACGAATTGTTCGAGGTGAGTATTTTTGTACTTCCGCATATAAACAGCTATAGGTGGTAATATTAGTTCTATTTTCTACAGAAAGGTGATTTCTTTCTAAAAGTATATTTTATTTTGTTCAGGTAACGTTAAGCGTAATATCTAAACTAATTTATTTCTACTTCGTCAGTAATGTTTGCGACTACGTTTGAAGATAGTACACGTACGTCCTGGATGAAATCCTGTTACAAAAACAGGACAAGGTACGTATACAACATCACCAGCAGAAGTAGCATTCCAACAGCTCCAACCATCAAATGTTCCTGGACAGTAGAGTTTATCTGTATGAAATGAATAGGAAACAAATGAAAAGTATGGTTAGATGATTTACACATGGATCAATTACTTTTCCCTGTAGATGCCTATTTTACAAATTTCATTTTGGTGGTTTGCTAGTAATTGTTGGCGGATATGTTAATCGTATATTAATATCCTTGATACTGGGTTTTCAAATAACGAACTTCTTTATCTAGGGTGGATATTTTATTTTTTTACATCCACATTGTTCCTCGAGAATGGATGGTGAATTGATTTTATCTTATACCCGATTTTTCCAATATTCGATGGTGAAGTTGTTTGTCATACAAATTGCTTTTCGAGGTCAGGAAATTGATTTTTATTCGATACTGCTCGGATAATGGATAATGTAATTGTTTGCTACACATTTGGTGTTCTAACAGTTTCAATGTCTATGAATGTAACGTGGTTTTTATCTATGTTAATACAACTCTGTATTCCCCAGGTAGTGTTTTAGTCTGCATCCGATTATTTTACTATGAATGATGAGTTCGTTTCTTCTGTATTTTTAGATTTAACAGTAGTAGTGAAACTGTATTTATTCATTCGTTATTAAAGTATTAAATCTATAACTTGTTCTCATAACTTAATAAAAAATTATCTAATCTATAACTAAATCCTCAGGAATAAAAGTAAACCGGTCTAAACCCACTAGAACGTGAAAGCGAGACAAAAAATTAGCATCAGAGTTAAGTATATTTTACATGATCGTTAGTTTCCAAAACTTCCAAGTTTTTGATTTTCAATAGATAATTTTGATATTGTTATTCGTGTTAAAGAAATATATATTTTCATTTATATTATACAACTGTTAATATTTCGTTTACTTAATTATCCAAACTTATAGTTTTGTGTCATATGAATCAAAACGTTTTACTATCAATTAATAACAACGATTACGAATAGAGTTTCAAATAAAACCTATTGATGAATTTAAATTTTTTTCATAGAATTTATTTGCGAATATTTTAAGCCGCTATTGGGCTACTAAAGTGCATTAGGCAATGATGCTTAGATTACATTTGTGTGTTTATATTTTATTGTGCTGTACACGTAGGTTTGTGTTAACTTTGACATTCCAGCTAGGTATCAAATTCAAACAGTTCACCGGCGGACATAGATTATACTTGAAAGTGACTAGAAAATGGCTATGTCGTTATAAATCTCAAGATATTATTTTTTAACGTTAAGAAGTGTTGTCTTTCCTAGACTAAATATACAATGTTAGTGTAAGCAAATATGCAAGAACCATAAAATATGTAAATGGTAGAAAATTCACAATGAATGATTATAGTCAGTTTCTTTCCGCCTGGTTAGCGATATTTCATCTGAGATTTTTACTACGTGAGAATACGTATATATATATATATATAATTTATAACAACAACAGTTCATGCCTCAGATAAGTTTAGTTTCTTCTAACCTTCAGATTACTCCCACGAGACTGGCACGTGCGCATTCATGAATGGTATTAGATATTCTTGTACACTTTCAAAGTACGGCAGCAAAGAAAGACAGTAATCTTTAACTACTTTTATCTTGCAGGTTTGTAATATTTAAAAAATAGATGTTATTTTACGGTATAGTATTATAAATACGTGTAAAATCCCTCTGGAGATGAACATTATGCCTTAATATAACTTAGTTTCACCAAATTCACTAGTTATTGCTGATTGTTAGTTTTATAATATTAAAGCATTCTGTTTATATATCACTGTTTTAGCCATGAAAATAATTGATCCAACAAATATCAACGAAATGAGTTAAAATGTATAATACATTTACTGGTTACATAGTATGGAACTGGTAGTTATTTTATTAACAACAACAGCAAAAAAACACAGATATCGGTTACATTTTAGGGAACCAGAAGTTTCTGTGACAGTAAAAAAAAGAAAAAAAATACATTAATACATCTACTGTGTGAATATGAAAATTAAAACGTTATAATGACTAAGTTCTTTAGGTCTACATTAATTCACAATGTCATTCAGAAATCATCGTGTAACATAAACTATTTGGTTGGGCAAAGAAGAACAAAATAATAATTAACAATCTGAACTAGAGTTGCTGATAAAACTAATGACAATTAAACTGTGTATTTTATTTATTACTAATATTTATGAATATAAAGGGTAACTACAGTTACACCAGAACTTTATATACAGTTTTGTTTGTTTGTTTTGAATTTCGCGCAAAGCTACACGAGGGCTATCTGCGCTAGCCGTCCCTAATTCTGCAGTGTAAGACAAGAGGGAAGGCAGCTAGTCATCACCTCCCACCGCCAACTCTTTTACCAACGAATAGTGGGATTGACCGTCATATTATAACGTCCCCACGGCTGAAAGGGCGAGCATGTTTGGTGTGACGGGGATTCGAACCCGCGACCCTCAGATATACAGTTTTGAACCTTCTTTAGTAATGAAACCAAAACGTTCACATCGTGTGATGGAGTTACTATTATATATATCTGTTTTAATAGAAATGTGTATATATCTAATTAAAATTAATTCGTTAATCGTGAACCCTCGATAAAATATCAAGGAAGTTCAAGGCCAGATAGAGGACTAAATATTGTTTGTGAGTTTGTAAAACTTTTGTACATAGATCATTACTTGTAATAACTATTATTGTACATTGTGTTATTGTTTGGATATTAAAATATATTTGTATTAAAAAACTGTATGTGTCAATCTCGTTGGCAAGTATCATAAATTGGATACATATCGACATTTATTTAATTTCTAAATCCAAGTTATCCTTTAACTCAGTCTCAGTCTATTCCAAATTATAATACGGAGGATCGTGTCCGAGATATGAATCATAGACAAAATTCGATCTAAATTCAAATTCAAATCATAATTCAATTTATATTTACCAGTGCCAACAAGATTTGATCATGTCTGATTACCAAGATTTTTTTAATCACCCTCCATCGAACAGCTAGAAAGATATAACAAAAATGAATTGCTCGAAATTGCTAAAGTTTTAGAACTAGAAGTTAGAAAATCAACGAGAAAAAATTAACTAAAAAAGCGTATTATTGAAATACTAGCCAATGATGATTTGTTGCCTGAGGAAGTATTGGAGAAATATTCTAGTGTGCCCACTGGCCAATCAGAGTTGAGTGATAAAGATAAGTTAGAGATTCAGCTAAAACTCAAACACATCGAGCTTGAACAAGCTCGTATTGAAGCCGAGAAAGAACAAGCTCGAATCAGAGCTGAGAGAGAACAAGCTCCCATCGAGGCTGAAAGAGAAAATAAACGTCTCGAGGCCGAAAAGGCTCGCAATGAAGCCGAAAAAAGAAATTTAGTTAGATAATTGAAATTAGACTCAGCTCCGATGGGCCAAAACAAAATGACAATTTTGAACTCAATCGATATGTTAAAGTACCACCAATCAATGAAAATCAAGTAGATAAATGTTTCCAATAAACAATATTCCCTGAACAATAACAGACTCACCAGTGGCATAACTCGAATCTAATGACAATATACCTTCTAACAACAATGATTGAGTCGCCCCAGTATCACGTAGGATACGTATGGGTATAGGATTGCCAGTGCCATTTGTTAAAGACACAGAACCAATATACACAAAAGGTATAACGTCCTCTCTGACTACATCAGCTTTTATATCAGTGGCCAAATCAGCAACATCTGGTGAAACTACGTCCATATGTGGACACAAATACACTGGGTGTTGCCTCCTTTTCCTTTTTTCTTCTTCAAACACCAATAATCGGACATAACATGACCAGGTTTGTTACAAAAATGGCAGACCGGCCTTGATTGTTTTAAAGAAGTTTTATCCTGAATGTCAAAATATTTCGAACTATAGGAGCTGGAATTTTTAAAAGGATTCTCAATTTTAGTGGATTGAATAGATACAGGTTTTGTTGAGATGGTAGGATTTTGTTTTCTATGAAAAGTGGTTTAATGTGTTAAAGTGTAATCATCGAAAAGAGTGGCTGCTTCCTGTAGTGTTTCAACTTTCTTTTCATCTA